CCTCAGAAAGGGTAGAAAATTGTACTTGACGAAGAACACTCTTGTGCAAAAATGAGGAGGAATGTGAAGTTATCGTCTAATAGCAGTATGCCGTAATAGATAATGATTCGTAATGGCATCCATTAGGTCACGTCCAAAGGCAGTCCTCTGGTTATCCTTGCAAGGTGTGACGAGTGGGTCAATTGCCTTGGATTCTTCTCGTATATCCACCTCCATATATGCTTCGAAAACTGATCATTTACGAATCTTTCCATTTCATCAGCTTTCTTGCATTTCCTTCCCTTTAGCAGCACTCTTCTTATCATCGCGGGTGATTTTCCGGTTTCCTGGGACTAACCCCAACTTATTCTACGTCACTCTTCTCTGTCGAAATGTTTCGACAAAAACATTCGAAGCATTGTCTGTATGTTATTGTGAAAATAACCTTCTCTGTGAAAAATTGAAAAAAATACTACTGAAAATTTTTGGAAAAAGAAACGAGTTAATGAGATTCCTATTATTGCTGGCTTTGTTTTTGTAACATAAAGTGATAACAAATTTGACCACATGATTACAAAACTAAAAGGAAATTCTGTAGCCTTTTTTTCTCGAGAAAATAGCTTGCGGCAATTTTCCTCACCGCTGTCGACAGAAAGGAATGTCATTTATATCCAAAATATTCAAGAAAAAGGCTATTTTGGAAAAAAGCGGACTGTTGTGTCAATAACTGAAAAACACAATCGTAACTTTTTTGACTGATCACTGCAGTTCAACAATTCCATAGCCGATGTGTAGAAGAAATTCAATAAGTGATCAATGAAGGTTATTGTTTTGCTGATAAGCCGAAAAATCCTCAAAGAAGGTTGACTCTTCTTGTGGTCCTTGCCACAAATCATATGAGCCATCAAAGTGGCGCTAGCGTTTGAAAGATCTCAAGAAATTCCTCTACAAAGAAGTGAATATAATTGCTTCAAAGTGGTTTCCTTACATGGGAGGGCCAGTTCTGGGCCATCACCATGTTCAGACTATAAATGCACTGGATCAGGCGCTTTTCGTGTACCCGTCAATGTGCTTGCTCGTTAACAGGAGTGGGGCAAAGATTACGTGATCAGCCGCTCCACTAGACGGCATAGTGTAGCTGAGCGCAAACAGCAGCGCTTTGCTGTTCGCTGCTAGACTCTGACAACCCATTTTCTGCTCTTCGTAATAATCAGCTGTGTTAAACTGAATTATGGCGTTGAAAAAGTGCCGTCTTATCATCGCATAAAACGATAAGGGAATCGACCATTTGCTGCGGATGGAACGTGCATATGGCTGGATCTACGACCTCTTTGAAGGCAACGAATTCCTCATCAAGTAGGTTCTTTTTGATTTATGGCATTATCCATCACTTATTATCCTATGGTCGAAATCCTGAAGGTCACTAGAAAGTTTAGCGACATTACACTTTACATTGTTCGAACCCAACGTGTGCTGCTGGCGCCTTCGCCCTGTTAAAATAGAGCATCAATCTCGTTGTGAACTCGCGTTCAGAAGAAATACTGCAACCATTTACATGAAAACAGCTTATTTGCATTTTGTAAAGCTTCCAAAGCAAGCGGAAGTGAATGTGGTTCCGAAAGGACTTGGACGCGTTCA